TAGCTGCCTTTGGGGATGTGGTCTGCTTCCTGTGTATAAGGAGAAGCTTTGAGAATGGTCTCTAGCCTGTGGCACGCTTGGACCCTGCATGTAGCCATGTCATTGCTCAGCAGCCTGCTATGCTCTGCCGACCTTGGGACTTACAATGGACTTAAGTTAATGGCCTGCTGTGTGGTTTGGTAACATCGGGACTGTGCCTTTTTACTTGTCAACCTTGGGGAATTCTCAGCCTCAGCAGCCAGCAGCTGTCTGAGTGAAGAAATGCCTCTAGCTCCAGTGGGCCAGGAGCAGGAGGCAGAGCTGGACCCCAAGGTTGAGGGGCTTTCACCCAGCCCCTAGAGCCTGGCACTTTGAACTTGGACTTAAAGCCTCCAAATTGTAAGAACAAACTCCTGTTTGTTAAGGCCATCCCATGTGTGCTATATTTCTTGTCAAAGCGGCACTCAGTAACCAGAATAGGTCCCCATAACACCCCCAGGACTGACGACTCACCAGGACTCCCAGGATGTGGCACGGTTGCACAGGCCACAGCACAAGATCAGCAAGGGAAGGGCGCATGGGACATCTCTCTGATGACTGTAGGCTTTTCTTGCTGTTCTTTCTCTAATTGTTGATGTTGGTTTAACGTGTTGATTTTGGCTCTTTCTTCTTTTGTGATGTGTGCAGCTGTTGCTATAAATTGGCCTCTGATCAGTGCTGTTGCTGGGGACGGCTCTCTGAGGCGGAAGCAGTGGGCTGTCACCAGGTCAGTACCTCCGTCTGCTCCCACAGCTGCACTGAGCACCTGGGGTGAGGCTCCTGCTTTCAACAGCGTCAGCACAGGTGTCTCTCTCTGGCCACTCGGGCTGTCCTGTTCCCCTGTGGGCATCGTCCCCGGGCACACACAGGCCGGTAGCCTGAGCCCCTGGGAGAAGTTCCCACGTGCTGATACTGTGCCATGGGGACACCGGTGGGGCTGGGACAGCGTTGGCACCGTGACACTACTGGCTCCCTGATGTCTGTCACTGCTATTGGGACCTTGGCGAGCTGCCCGCGTGGGCACGGGGAGCTCGGCTGCGTCATCGAAGCTGGGCTGGTTTTTGCACGGGGAGCGGCAGAGGCGCCCCAGCCGTTCCAGGTTTGCTTGTCCTTAAGGAGTAAGGGTTGAGCATCTCCTCACACACTTGAAGTTGTCTGTGTCCGTCTGTCCGAGGCCTGTAGTCCTTTCTCTGCCCCTCTGCTTGCTTCTTGGCTTTTCCTACTGTCTTTGGTGTGTTTTTCCTGAACACGTCTCCAGTTTTCACGCAGCCAGGGTTGGATAGTGTCTCGATTCTCACAGGGCTGGGGCCATCTCTTGTCTGATCAGGTAGCCTGGGGAGGGTGGGGGTTTTGGTGTTAACCTTTGACCCTGCACAGGCTCCTGGGGACTTTGCCTTCACCGGCACCCTGTGGGTGCAGCATCTGGCAGGAAACATGCAGGTCCCTTGGGTCCCATGGCCACCTCGTCTCTTCCCTTGCGGGGTGGCAAATGGCTCGGCTGAGTTTTGGTGGCCTGCCAGGCTGGAGGAACAGCCATGGCTGTGCACACGCACTATGGTGCACCACGAGGGCAAGGTACCTAGGGCACCTCCCACCTTCCAGCATGGCCTGGGGCAGGCGCTGGGGCCTGTGAGGTGGCTGCCCTGTGTTTGAAGGGACAGTCCTAGGGAGCGGCAGGGGGCCCACCTCCAGTCAGCACCTTCCTAAGTCCTGCTCTGAGGCTGCTGTGGGCGGGTGGGGTCCCATTCCTGTGACCCTCTGGGTCAGCAACTGGCCTTCCGGGATGGGGTGGCTTTGACTGGGAACCCCGTATCCCCACCTGTCCCAGGGACCCGTACTCGAGCTGGCTCCAGGGTGCCTCTCCTCCCAGCTTCGGGGCCCTGAAGAGGAACGGAGCCTGGGGGGCAGTGGCCACGGCTGGGGTTGCAGACACTGGGGGCAGTGGCCACGGCTGGGGTTGCAGACACTGGGGGCAGTGGCCACGGCTGGGGTTGCAGACACTGGGGGCAGTGGCCTCAGTGCCAGCTTGGCCCTCCCGGCCCCTGCTGTACTGTGTCCTCCATGCTCCCCACACTCCTGGTAGGGTGGGGATGGGGACACCCTTGACAGACCAGGGGTGCCAGGCCCCAATGAGTGGATCAGGGTGGGGGTGTCCCACCTCAATTATTTTATGCTTTTTGTCGAAGCCATGTGTTTTCAGTAATGGATGGCATTTTTTTTCCCCCAGGAGTTAGTTGATTGGCTATTCCAAGTCCTCCAACCTGCTGGGGCAACTAGTTCCTTTTATATTTAAATAGAAATTGCTTGGAGCTCTACTGACAGTGTTGGATGAAGGAGCTCTGGTAGTACAGTGCCTAAGACATCTGCCCAGAAGGTTGGTGGTTCAAACCCACCAGCCACTCTGAGGAAGGAAGACTGGGCAACCTACTTCTGTATAGATTTACCACCTCAGAAACCCAATGAGGGCTGCTATCAAGTCAATGGCAGTGGCTTTGGTTTTTGACAGTGTTGGACGGTGCCTAGGACCCACCTCATTATTTTTATGGATTTCTAACTCTAGTCAGACTACAATGGCTTGAGACAAATTCTCCTGATCATTTCTCATTCTGATTTAATGGACAGCATTTTGAATGAAATGAAAAACAATTATTTCCAGGTAACAGGGATTTTGATATAATTAGCAAGACACACATATCCTGAGGGGTCTCTGGTGCTGGGGTTGGTGGAGTGAGGCTGGTTTCTTCAAATTCACAGTTAGATCAGATGGTAGCACTCAAAGTGGGATAGCAATTTCCCACTAAACTCTAGAGGCAGAAAATGTATGTGGGCATTATATGTCCCACTCACAAAAGGGTTACATATTGAAGGTGATGGTTCTCGGTCCTGAGGAGGCTTGAGTGCCCAGGATATTGACACCAATTTCGACAATCTTTTCTTTAGCTGACGGTTGTTGGCCTGACTCTAGGGGGAGGGGCAGGGTGAAATGGGAAACGTAGACCCCTTCCTTCCCTGGGTGGGGTTGCCTGCTGTGCCCTTGCTCTGTCCTCTGTCTTGTCTCTGTTCACCTTTGCTCTGTCCCCTGCCCTACAGAAAATAACATGCTTAGCCCACTCCGGTTGGGGAGAGGGGCTGGGTAGAGGATGGGCGCTAACTGCCAATCAAGTTACACAGAAATGTGCATCATGGTGGCATGTGCCCGCTGTGGGCTTTTACAGTATTTCCTCTCTTCATTCTCTTACTTTCCTCCTGCGACTCTCGTCATAGCCATGCCAGACTCTGCATTTTATTCTACAGATGTTTTACCATTTCCTTTCTGGTTTTTATCTCCTCATCTGTTTCATATTCTGGACTTCTTTCACCGTATCTTCCAGTTCACTAATGCTCTCTTCAGCTTTGTCTTACCTGGTTTTAAACCTACCCACTGAGTTTTCTCTCAGTGATGGTAGTTTTCATTTCTAAAAGTTCTCCTTTCAGGACCAGGTTTGCTGGTCCAATAGAGCCTGGTGTAACCACTGAGACTATGGCCCCTAGCTGCCCTTCAGGTCTGGAATTGAACCCACACCTGTGGTTTCCAGCCAAACAAAGTACAGGCATGTGAGTTAAACATTTACCTCAAGTAGACACACGCCCTGGAGAGAACAATTACGGGAGAAGGAAGGGCTGCTTATGCACAGGGAGATAGCTCAGGGTGCAGAAGAGTATGAAGGGATGGACACTGGGAGGAGGTAACTATGGGGAGGAAGGGGGAGGGGAGCTGCTGCATTGTAAATTTTGGTCAATGACATGAAACAAAGTATATGTGAACTGCTGTAGGAAAAGTGAATTTACTCTGTAAATCTTCACCCAAATCCTTAAAAAAAAAAAAAAAAAAGTTCTCCTTTCACAGCCTGTGTCTAGTCATGCCTGACAGTCTCCAGAGTTCACGTGTCATTGTGACTGTGTCCTTCATTCCTTTAAATGTTCCACACCTAATTCTTCTGCAGCTGGTGGTCTCTGGCAGCGTCAGGAGCTGCAGCCTTCTGTGGTATCTGCTCTTTGCAGCATCTGCAACATTCATCATGTGAGCCACCTGCCTGTGCACGTGGTGACCTTTGGCTGTAAGCTCACTGTCGGGTGTTAGAGGAATCCTACAGGCCCTAAGTAGGGGAAGCTTTCCCCTAGGGATCCATCATGTTGGCTTCTGCTGGCCCTAGGAGGCACCACTAACCCAGGGCCCTTTAGGCCCCTGGCGGGTCTTTCTCATTTTACCACTGACCCAAGGTCTAGTAGCCCACTCTGAGGGCAGCCCCGATCCCACAGGGTGTACAAGCCTGCAGCCTGAGCTTTCGTCTGTGGGGTAGGTAGCCTGAGGACACCTCCCCACCTCTGTGGGACCAATGATGCTCAAAGACAGGCAGGACACGGCCGTTCTGTGGCAGCAGGGACCTCCCACACCGAATATGAGGCAGAAGTCCAAAGCGCTGACGTCAGACGTGGGAAACCTGTCACCGCACACTGCAGCGACCTCGATCCGGTTATGCTGACAACTGGCTCCTGTCCCCACCAGTCCCTGCGCTCAGAGCAGTAAGGTCCTTCTGTTCACCTGAAGACGAGTGACCATTGCTGGCCTCTCTGTCCCTTTCATACCCCACCACCACACTCTCCTTTGCGGGGCTGCTCTGTGCCCAGGCCTGTGCTAAAGTACCCCAACCCCCACCCCTGGCTGCCAGACCCCCGGCATTGATGGGGGCAGAGAGACATGCATGCACCTTGGATACAAGGTAGAAAGGACTCCAAACAAACTACCTCCTCCCACAGTGCTGCTCTCCGGCCGGTCTACACCCTGACCGCTCCTGAGGAAGGCGGCAGGGACAGCACCGGGCCCTACACCCGGCGAGCAGCTCGCCCCAGGGGGCGTGCTCGGAGCAGCTACTGGCACAAGCCGCTGGGCGCGATGGCAATTTAATGGTTGCTGCTCCTCGCCGCGGCTGTATTTACATGTCTCCTCCACGCCACGGCCCCTTACAGCTCACTCCGGGCCGTGCACCCGCTGGTGCTGGATGAGGTGGGAACTCAGGCCGAAAGCCCTGCCGCACTGGGTGCAGCGGAACGGCCTCTCGCCCGTGTGGACGCGCTGGTGGCGGAAGAAGCCCGAGAGCGCGCGGAAGGCGCGGCCGCACACGCCGCACTCGAAGGGCTTCTCGCCGGTGTGGATGCGCCGGTGCTCGCGCAGGAAGGAGCTGCGGCTGAAGGCGCGGCCGCAGTCGGCGCAGGCGTAGGGCCGCTCCCCGCTGTGCACGCGCCGGTGCTGGAGGAGGTTGGAGCTCTGGCTGAAGGCCTGGCCGCACTCCGGGCACGCGTAGGGGTTCTCCCCGTGGTGCGTCCGCTGGTGCCGCACGACGTTGGAGCTGTGGAGGAAGGCCTTCCCGCACTCCCGGCACTCGTACAGCCTCTCCCCGGTGTGGGCGCGCTGGTGCTTGGCGGCGTCCGACCGCTGGCCGAACGCCTTGCCGCACTCGGCGCACTCGTAGGGCTTCTCCCCGGTGTGGGTGCGCTGGTGGCGGACAAGGTTGAAGCTCTGGCTGAAGGCCTTGCCGCACGCCTCGCAGCTGTAGGGCCGCTCCCCGTGGTGGGTCCGCTGGTGCCGGACCACGTGCGAGCTGTGGATGAAGGCCTTCCCGCAGTCGCTGCAGGCGAACGGCTTCTGGCCGAGGTGGAGGCTGCGGTGCTTCACCGCGTCGGAGTGGCACGCGAAGCTGCGGCCGCAGGTGCCGCACGCATAGGGCCGCCCCTTCCGGGGGTCTCCCCGCGCGATCCTGGAGCTCCCCAGGCCGCCCCGCCAGCCGGGGTTCTCAGGAGGGTCTGGACCGGGACGGGAGGCCCCAGAGCCTGCGGCAGTGCCCTCCTCCTCACAGAGGCCAGGCCCTCCGGCTGCCTGCCGAAGCTCCGGGCACCGGCCGGGCCCAGCCCCCCCGCAAGACTGCTCTTCTGAAGGTTCCTGCTTCAGAGTCAGCCCTGTGCCGGCAGCCCCTCCACCCCCAGGTGGACGTGGGCAGGCAGACGCAGGTGTGGGCAAGGGAGCACTCCCAGCTGCAAGAGGCAAGGGGTGGGAATTCAGATCTAAGAAAACACTACTGAACGATGCCCAGGTGGGTGTGGGTGTGGACGCAGGTGACACGGACGGGACAGTGCACAGGTGGGTGTGGATGTAGGTGACAGCGACTGATGCCCAGGTGCGTGTGCACGTGAGCTGACAATCACTCAGTGATGCCCTGAGTGAAGCAGGAGCCCATGCACTGGGAGGTACAGGACCAGAGTGTCCCATGTGTGCCAGGCTTTTATGTCTCAAAACTGGCTGTGAACCTAACCTTGATTCTTGGAGACCACACAAAGCCTTAACTGTCCTTCCCCAATCACCAACCTCACAGACTTGTGTCAGGGGCCAGCTAGAGTCCTCACTCACATAAACCAGTGCACAGAGCAGCACCAGCCTTGACTGCCTCTTACCGGCTGTGGGCCCAGCTGGTGGGAGTCCCATCCTATACGGAGGGCACAGAGTGTCTGGGGGGGCGTGGCAGCTGGGTAACCCAGTGCTGTTGCTCTGGGCAGACTGTGCCACTGGGAAAAGGGAGCAGGATACAGGGAAACACGTGTGTTGGCCATGTGTGTGGCCTCCTGTGAGAGCCAGGAACTGTGATTAAAGGTGGCCCCGTGCATGATGGGACCTCAGGCCAGCAGACCTGTCAGGAGAGACAGTCTCCCGCTCACGCGTGGTCATGGAGATGGCGGGAACGAAACAGCTGAAATTCAGCAGGAGGTGCCTCCGGGGTCCTTGCCCCGAGGAAGGGAAGAGGGCGGATGAACACAGGGTCGCCTGTGTTCATGGAGAAACAGGGACAGGGTGTCGGTGTGGAAGGGCGTGCCACGTGCATGTGCACGGTGACGTGAGTGTGCTTTGTGTGCGTGCCGGTAGATGTGTGCATGCACATGCATGGTGATGTGTGTATGTATGTGTGGGCGTGTGCTAGCATGAGCTCGGCAGCCAGTCTTCTGGGCGCCCAGGCCCCACGGTGGAATGAGAATCATCGGAGAAGAGTGTGAGTGGGGGGGCGGTGTCCGCCCCGGTGTGGAGCATACCAGCCGCAGCACCACCACACGGTCCTGCTGTCACTAGCACTCAGGGTACCGTCTCATCTCTGACAGCCTGAGACCGCAGGAACCACGGAAGAGGGTTGGAGGACAGCCACCCCTTGAGGCTCCCGTGTCCCCTGTGCCCCTGCTGGGCCCTGAGTCACAGCATATAGGACTGTTGTCCTCACAAGTCTCCAGGTGAGGGGTGTGCCAGGAGATTGTGGGCCGAGGCCCCAGGTTGGAGCGGGAGGGCAGCCAGCAGTGGCAGGGGAGGAAAGGCGTGGGTTTGGGGTGACGCTGCCTGAGCCGGGCACAGTCCCTCCGCACCTGGCCCACGGACTTCGGGAGCCCAGGCTCCTTACCCACCCCGCCCACCCACAGCCACTCACCCGTGTGCGTGTCCATCAGGCTGACGTCCTTGGAGCTCTGGGACCAGGCCCACCGTGCACCAGGAGCAGGGACCCTTCCTGCCTGGTGAGAACAGGATTCAGTAAGGTGGGTGGGATGAGGTCAGGACAAGCCCCGGACCCCGAGGAGCCAACTACCCACCCAGCCACTCGGCCCAAGGCAGAGGCCTGCGTCCACACCAGTCCTGCTCAGACCCGGTTCTGTGCCGTTGGCGTCCTTCCCCAGGGGTTGCAGAGCCGGTGGGAGACTGCAGGGAAGGAAGCATCCCGACCTTGTTTCAGTCAGTTTGGAAGAGCTTCTGTCCCGAGCCAGCAAGCGGGTCCTAAGTAAGAGCACCCCCAGAAGCGGGCCCACCGCCTGCGCAGGCTCCCAACGGGTCCGCCCGCCGCCGGGCCGCTGCCCTCCACCGCGGGGAGGAGTTTTATGGGTGTTTGAAGTGCCACGATAATCCAAGGCAGGAATGTGATAACACGACACAGAAAAAGAGAATCATTTGGTGCGGTTTTAGGTCAAGCCTCAGACTGAGCTACAGGAGATGTTCAATGTCAGGGGAAGAAAGAATTAACTGGGGCCTTGGCGGACGACCTCCGCGGAGAAGCGACACGGAAACTTCGCGAAGCCGCCCCCGCAGTCAAAGCGCCGCCCGCGCGCGGTTCTAACGGTCACGCGGGGGCCGTGCAGCTGCAAACCCCGGGGACGCGGACTGCGACTGCGCCGCCGCCGCACGGGGCCGCCGCTGGGGATGGAGCTCCGAGCCGTCCCGGAACGACTCGTGCAAGGGACCGAACCGTTAGAGGAGGGGCGGGCTGCGCCACGGCGGCCCGCCGGACGGGCGCGGAATGAATGAAACCCTACGGGCGGCGGCGACTGGGAGGTCTGGGACGCACCCACGTCGTCCATGCTCGGCTCCCGGGACCCGGGGAAACGCGGAGAAGGGTGCCTTCCACGGCAGCGGGACAGCGGGCGGGCGGCGGCCGCCGCTCAGTGTCCGGCCCCAGTGCGGCCCAGCCCACCCGCAGCTGAGGCGGCCGCTCACCTGTTGACCCGGCCGCCTACCGGAAGCACCGCCCCGCCCGCAGCCAGAGCACTTCCGGCGGCGCTCTAGGCTTCCGGAGGACCACCGCGCTCGCTGCCCCGACAGCGCCCCAGCGGAGCCCGGATTACGCCCGCTGCCCTGGCTGGGGCGTGTGTCTGTCTCTGCGCGTGTGTGTCCCCGCGAGGCTCTCACTGCCCGGGGCAGGGCGACCAGAGGACCCCGCGGCAGCCTGTAACCCTCCCCGTGCGATTCCTGGAGGCGGGGTCCCTTCCCTCCTGCTCCGGGGCTTTTCCGGGCTCCCCTGTGGGCCACATTCAGAGAGTCCCTCCTCCTCTGAGACCCATCTCCGCACGCCTCCTCCGCGAGGCCCTCCCCTCGTCGGGTCTGGGCTCCGTCGGCTGGAGCCACACCCTGGCTTGAGGTGGGGCAGCTGGACACCGGGCCCCGTGCGCAATGGACGACGCGCGGGCCGTGCAGGGAGAAGACGGGCCTTGGGGGAGGGAGCAGGCGCGGCCCGTGGAGCGCAGCCGGCGAGAAGCTAGAGCCGAGGGCGCGGCCTGCGCATCCCGCAAGCCTTGGGGGCCTTTCCCAAGCCGGAGCCATCTAGTGGACGCTGAGTCCTGCGACCACACGTGTGTCCGAGTAGATTAGCGCCCCAAGGGTTCTCAACGCCCCTCACTTTAGGGGCCGGTAAAAGCTGCCTTTGCCGGAGGAGGGCAATGACGGGGACCGGTGCCCACGTCCCCAAGTGTGTGTTCTAACAGCGAGGGCTGGTGTCTCAGGGAGGGTGGACGCCTGTGTGTCCCCGGCCGTATAAGGATCCTGTCCCTCTGTCCTGCCTTCACAGGGGCTTCCGGAGGCCCCGGCGGGTTGGACCCCCGGCGGTAAGTCTACAATGCAAAGGGCGTGGGAGCAGAGGCTGAGGGTCAGACTCAGCGCGGGAGGCCGCCAGGCCCCGCCACCCCTCCTGCTGCTTGTCCCCGGCCCTGCGCCCACCTTCAGGCCGTCCTCACTCGGTTTCCGCAGGAGAGCTGCGGCCCTAAGCTCAATCCGGGCCGTGCACCCGCTGGTGCTGGATCAAGTGGGAACTCAGGCCGAAAGCCCTGCCGCACTGGGTGCAGCGGAACGGCCTCTCGCCCGTGTGGACGCGCTGGTGGCGGAAGAAGCCCGAGAGCG